CCAGATTATTATAAGAAAAATTTTATTCCAACAATATTTCTGTGTTATCATTTTAAGTTCTTATGTAGCTAAAAAAACACCTTAAACATAAATATTATTTTTTTTCTTTAATTATTATTATTGTATTATTATTTTATTAAAAAATTGTATATTTTTTACTACAAATTGACTATTTGTATTGTATGCAATAAACATATAAAAAACAAGAAGGGAAAAAAAGATATTTAGATGCATTGTGAATAAACTGTCACATTAAGCTATGAACGCCTTTTGTTGTAATCTGGAAGCCATAGGACCAGAAAGCAGCTGTTGCGCTGTTCGATTACAATGCTTATATAATTCTGTGTTGTATTTTTGGTGACTTATATAGTTATAACATCAATAACTTTTTGAATTCCAATATATATATATATATATATATAAATATTTTACAATATATATTATTATCTCAATAAAAATTCTATATATAAAAATATATAAATAAAAGATTTTATTTCACAGATGTTTAAAATTTCTTTCCCAACACTGAAACTTATAAGAATATAAATCACAAAATGAATAACAAAAACAATAGCAAACTAACGGCGACTTGAGACAGCTATATAATTTCTCAGTTGGTAAAAGTTTTTTGCTCAGTGCTGGTTGTATGTTTAATAGGTGAGAGGCTAAATATGAATTTGCCTCATATGAAAGTAAATAAATTTATAATATTTAATAAATATATATTTAAAATAAGTTTATCTAAATGCAGTATAATTGTAAAAAACGAAATGTGTATGAATGGACTATGCAAAAATAAACATAAATGGAATATGAAAAAACGTATGTGATTTCGCATTTTGGCAATGAAAGACAATGCCAAAGCAACATACAAAACCCATTTAAACACAACATGCATGACATGTTTAATTAATTATTGCAAAAAAAACTTTATTTATTTATTTACATTTATAAATGCTTAAAAGTTTTAATAAATTTTTGTGTGGAATATATTTAAAATACATGGACTTTTGTTTAGTGCACAGAATGCTTTTCGTTTGTTTGGCATCTGCATTTGTGTATGCCTGAGTGTGTGCTTGCGTTAAAGTGGAAATTTACTGTTTTCACTTTGTTAATGATAAATGTTTGAATTATTTAAATAAAATTGTTAATAATGAATTGTTATTCGTCAAATAAGAAGAAATTATTAAAATAAGCAAAATGTTTCGTACTTTGGTGCAGAATTTACATAATTAAGCGAAGCCGGTTTCTTCATGAAAACGAGACGTATGTACGCTTGAGTGCTTTCCTAGCGCCCCACATCACACACACTCCGTTGGTTAAAATTGCGTCGTAGTTGAGTTTTCGTTGTGTTTGAGACGCACATAAAATTTATTTAAAAAGAGTATTTGTATTTTTAAGCAGTGAGTTTTATATATTAGTTTATAATAACTGTTTCTTTAAAGTTTTGGCTATATAATGTTAACATCTGAATTATTATCTAAAATTAATATATTGTCTGCTTTGATTAAATTCATTGTTTTGGTTTATTTTTTCCCTCAAATCGATGAATATTATATTCTAATAAGAAATTAAATTCTTCCATGTATAAATTATTCATTGAATGTAAAAATAAATCTATATCCATACCCCCACTGCAGCATTTAAAATAAAATTATATGCAAAAAGATAACAGTATAAAATTAATTTTAATAAAAATAAGATAAATATATTTTTAATTATTCACTATATACATATAGCATGTATATATTATTTAAGTGTGATATTTTATGTTAAATGTGCATAATTTACTGTTTTCTTTAATTAAAAGCAGAAAGCAGCATGAACAAAAACAACAACAGTGCGAAATGCGCGCTCATGTAGTACTCCTTCCATCATTTCTGCCTTTAATGGCTGCTATACATAGCTAAGTCAACATTCCTTGCACGTATTGTGCTCTCCTCAGATTTAATCTACATTCTAGCTTTTCGGTTATCCTTTAAGGACAACTTCTTCATATACAAACAAAACACCTGCAATACAGACACACTTGTTGTGTAAGTTGCTTTAAATTTTTCTCTTTTTTTACATATTCACTAATAACCAATTTTAATAATTTATTATTTTATTCAATTTAATTATCTTAGCCTCCAATATGTTTTATTATGATAGGTTCGTTAATTAAATTTTTATAAAAAAAATGGTAGTCTCTATCAATATTTTATTGAATCTGCGTATTAAAATACTTCGCAAAGAGAAAATTTTTAGCAGTAAAAAAGAATTTGTGAAGCATATAATCCATCATTAGCTCAACATTAGTTACAGCTGTGTTTGTTTCATTTTCATTTTGTTTTATTTAGTTTTTTTTGTGCAGTGAAATAAATATAAACAACAGAATAACATTGGGATGTAATTTTGTTTGTGGATTCTATTGGAATTTGTGTTTAAAAATGAGTGTATACATAAGTTTTATATACACAAAGCTATTAATTTTACATATTGTATTGTTTTGATACTACTTCTTGTGAAAAATGCAAAAAAAAAATCTGCAATAAGGATAAGAAAAATGTTAAATAAGAAGTAAATTTATGATGTTTTATATTATATATATTATTTATGATATATTATATTATATATATTATTTATGATATATTATATTATATATATTATTTATGATATATTATATATTATATTATATTATTATGATATATTATATTATATATATTATTTATGATATATTATATTATATATATTATTTATGATATATTATATTATATATATATTATTTATGATATATTATATTATATATATTATTTATGATATACTATATTTTATATATTATTTATGATATATTATATTATATATATTATTTATGATATACTAAATTATATATATTATTTATGATATATTATATATATTATTTATAATATATTATATTATATATATTATTTATGATATATTATATTATATATATTATTTATGATATATTATATTATATATATTATTAATGATATAGTACTTATATATGGTCATATATATTTATATCCAAGCAATTGACATTTTTTTTATTCACTTATAATTTCTTACTATTGTGGCAACCAGTGAAAAAATCGGAATCTACAATCAAAACGTCCAGAATATAGAAATGATTTATTTTTCTGTTTTTAGGTGAATATGTAAGCTCTGTACGGCTTACGGTTCCTTCGAAAAATTGTTACTTGTTGTGTTATCACAAAAATCATCAAGTTATTAACCATGTATACGAAATGGTATTATCTTCAAGAATATATCTGTATAATGACTTCTCAATTCATGTAATTTACTACTAATAGGGCATTTTTGTGAAAATAATTGATATTCTTTGTATATACGCACAAATCTATGACGTCTCCAACCTTGAAAGCACACATAAATTGTCACAATCCTAAGATATAGTCTTAAATATTTAAAAATTATGGAAAATTAAAATTAGAATTGATAAATGTTTTTCTTGTGTTGTAATTTTTCAATTGAATAACTGAACGAACAAAACTAGGGTCCTTATAATTAACCTATTGTGATACAAAGAATCTTCTATACAGTTAGAAACATTGTTGAATGTTTTTCTCTAAAAATAAGATTTATTAGATGTTTATTCTAATATGATTGTTCCAATGATATAGGATACATTTTATCACGATATCTAGACCTAGACCCATAGTACCTTATTCTAACGTCAAACACATACGCTTAAATTTTCCAAAAAAAAAAAATTTATTTATTTTTCATATTTTGATTCATTACCGACAAAAAAAAAATTATTTTTTCAGGATATCAACAATGATAAGGATCTAAAAAAAAGACTTCAATTTTGGTTCTTCCCATGACAACATAAAATATTCCATACATAAATTCTCATAAGCCTAATCACTCAATCCAAGTAAAAGTAAAAAAGCAACAACAATAAACAATTATAAAATCTGTGGCTACCTGACTAGCACAGCACGTCGTATTATCTGAATTTTTTTTTTCTCACAGGATATTTAAAAAAAACAAACTTGCAACCCTTAGGAGCGTTGCTGCGACGACTTCACTTTATTTTCACATACGTTCGCGTATGTTTTTCTTTTGACTTCATTTTTTACGCTCTCATGGGTGCCAACCGTTTGTGGAATCTGTGGACTTTTTTAGTCTGCTGGATACCCTTTATATTCTTCTCTTCTATCAATGTATTTGTTGGACATTTTCGGTTATATTGAAGTTTGTACGAATTTGAATTGAATCCCTTGCAGTGCAGTTTCATATCAGAGAAAGTGGTGTACGTGCGTCTGCTGTCGCGGATAAAACTTATATACATATAAAGATGTATATGGCTCTAAAGCGCGCAATCAAATGTAAATGATTTATTTTTAGATTTTTATGCAATTAATATTATTTTATTTACATATATATTTATATATATTATAGCAATAAATAATTAAAAAAATTTATTTGTGTAATATATAACTGATCTTATTTTTCTTTACTTTTGTTTTTAGCACTTCGCAATATGTAAACATTAACTGTAATGTAAAAAAATCAGTGAGCACCAAAAATTAACGAAATTTGAAGACTAAATAAAAATCGAAAATAAAGTTAACGTGTAAGTTTCTCTTATAAGTGAATGTTTGTGTGTGTATATTCGTATGTGTGTGTGTGTGTGTGCCTTTTAAAGTCTAAATCCCACAAATTAAAATAAAAATGATATTGGCTAAAGTCAAAGAAAGTCAACCGTAAAGACAGCAGAAAAGGTGGGTTTTATGGTAAAAGCAATGCACAAACAATTCGTATGTATACGGATATTTTGCTTGCTAATTTTACCGTGCGCCTACAAATTACAAAAAGAAAAATGTATAAAATTTTATTTGCAAAGAAAGAAAAAAAGTTTAAAAAATTATTTTTGTTTTCATCGTTATTAATATAATATTTGTGTGTTTTAATTTATCTAAAGTCAAGCAAGAAAAGTCCCTCCAGCAGCGTTCACACAACATCTGTAAAGAGAGCGAGTCAAGCAAGCAAGCAAGCAGACAGTAACACGAACTTGTTTGTTGGCCCTTTGTTTTTAAAGTGTAGAGTCACACAAATGCTAACAACAAAAACAATAGCATGGAATAATGCAAAATTGCTAAAATCCAAATCCAAAAATTATATTTTTTTTTGAATTGTTGTATATGTTAATTTGATTTCTCTTTAATTCCAAACTTATGTTTTGTTTTGTTTCGTATCTTTTTTATTATTCATAATTCGTGTTTTGTATTTGTTTAGCAATTAATTTTTAAGTTATTAAAAAAAAAGTATATAAGTTAAAGTGTTGTGGCAATAAAAAAAATAATAAAATACAAATTATAACAAAATAACAAAAAATACAAAACAGAAAAGTGAAGTGTGGAGCGCCATAGTCGCTGTTAAAGAAGTATTTAGTATAAAAAAAGAGAGAATATAGAGTGTGGAACCAAATAAATGGATTCACATTCCACTTCTACTCTCGCAAATAATGTAGTTGTAAATGAAAGAAGCATTAAACCTCATAACAAAATAAAAACGAACCAACACAACAGCAGCGGCAGCAACATCAACAACAACAACAACAACACTGTTAACTAAGTGACAGTAGCAAAATTGAAAAAGACAACAACACTTAAAAGGCAGCAACAGCATATAAAGCAGCACCAAATACAAGTGTTGCATTAAAAATGTCAACGTTCTTGAATAATTTCTTCCCGGCAGGTAAGCACAAAAATTAATCTTAAAAATTATATGCTTAATTTTTTACGGTACAGAACGGTAATCAAAAGAAAATATTATAAAAATATTTTTACTTATTAATTTTTTTATTTTTGAAAAAGTGTTATATTAAACAATTTTGAATTTTCTTTTTTTTTTTATAAATCAATGTAATATTTACATATTTAAAAAATTTTTTATTTTATTTTTGAATAAATGTTTAATTTATTTTAAAATTTTAATTAATAACTATTAATTTCTTTATTTTTGAAAAAGTGTTTAATGTATAATAAATAATTTTTTTTTCTTTATACAAAAATGTAAATATTTAAATTCTTTATAAAAAAAAAAAATTTCAATTTTCTTCTTTATTTAAAGAACTGTTTATTGTCTTTATATAGAAAACATTTTAATTTTCTTTTTTAAAACAATTTTTAATTTTTTTATTAACAAACAATTTTTAATTTTTTTATTTAAAAAAAATGTTTAATATAATAGAACAATTTTAATTTTTTTTCTTAAATTTTTAGTCTCTTGATTTTTAAAACTGCGAATTTTCGTATATATAAAAAAAACTTAATTTTCTTTTTTAAAAAGTTTCTTGATTTGCAAACATATTTACAAACATATCAAATTTTTTTTATAACTTTAAATAAATTATTAACCTTTTTTTTACATATTATTAAGTCTATTTATTTATAAATAAAATTTGCTTATAATATATAATGAATAAATTGAATTTCTCAGCACTGGGTACTCATGCATTTGACTGTAGTTACATTAAATTTTTAATTATATATACGAATTTAAATAAATATATAAATATAAATAAATAAAAAAAATAAATATATAAATATAAATAAATAAAAAAAATAAATATATAAATATAAATAAATAAAAAAAATAAATATATATATATATATATATATATTTGAACTGTACAGCACAAAATTAATAAATATTTATGTATATATTTCAATTTAGTTGGAATTTTTTTATATAATTTTTATATTATAACATATAAAATTATTGTATAATATCCGATCCGCTGTACTTTGACCAATTTTTCGATAACCAAGCTATATCAACATAATAATAATGAATAATAAAGTTTACTATTATTATTAAATAATAGGTTATTAATGAATGCACTCTGACCTAAAAGATCTATTGTGTGCTATGAAATTTACTAAAATTGGTTTTCAAATTCCAAAGCCTAGGAAATAGAAATCGGTGCTTTGTTTGATCTTTATGTTCTTTGTGTGGGAGAAAAACCTTGCTTATCGATAGATTTGAATTATTGCATATATTTAAAAAACCAATTATATGGTCCAAAATATAATTACACTAGCCAACAAGGTTTTTAATCTGAATAGCTAATGACAATTAATGAATTGTTTTACTGTTTAATGAATTGGATAGCTGATGCCAAATCTATTATCAGCTTATTGCACCACATCTAGTGTTAAGGATATCGACTGAAATATTTTTTTTTAGACGTTTTCTTATATGTGACATCACTTTTTTATGACTTTAATTTATTTTCAAATGCCAAATATCTAAATTAAATAATTTAGTAAGAAATTTGGTATAAAATATATGGCAATCGGAATTGATTTTTTTGGAATTTTAAATTTCTATATCTGTAAAATTGTATACGTTATTAAAATACTGTAAAGATTTGATAGTTTCACACAATTCTAATAATTGTCTGATTCTAATCCTAAATCAGTTTAGATTCAATAACCCAAATTCTGAATTAAGTAGGTCTTAACTCATTAAATTGATGACTTCAAATAAAATGTGAATGTGAATTGAACTTCTTTTAAGAAAAGTTACTTGTAGATTAGTATCAACTCAATCGAGTTTTTACTGAAATTGTTATTATAATAAATAAAATAATCATAAAATTGTTTTTTTATTTATACACGTGGATGTCATATATTTTGTACTGCAGATTTTTTCTTTAAAAAAAAATGCATCATTTACAAAAATTAAAATATAATATTTGTCTATTTTTAATAAATGGCATTGAGCAAATTTTGAGAAGGTCATTATACTTTATGAAAAAATTTTGTGTATGCACCATTAAATTTTCAAATAAAATTGTGTCATAATTTTCACCTATACCGATGTAGTGCCCCAAAAATTTTTAATTAAATTCTCAAATTGATATTCATATATTTTATATCAGAAACAAATGACCGATGTGTAATTATAATTCTAAATTTTTAAAAATCACATACAAAAATTTATATTAAAATGTTTGTGCAATAATATTATTTTTAATTTTACTAGACTTAAAAGTGTAAAGAGAACATTTATATTTTTTTTTTGAAACTTTATTGCTACTATTTCGAAAGAATTATTACTCCTAGCTAGCATTCATATACTACATTGATCAAAAAGATTCTAAAACTTATTCAGAAATTTGAAAATACAAATTTATTGCTGATAATCGATATTGTCCCGTTTATATTACTTCTCATAGAGTACTTAAATCAATCCAATACTTAATCCAAAGCTGGAGAAATTTTATATAATTATTATAAACTTTTTTCTTATTATTATTACTTCTTGGTTGTTGAAATGGGTTCCTTGTAGTAATTTCTTGATTCGTTTAAACAGGAAAAATTCATAGAAAACCAAATCATGTGAATTCGGTATCTATTCAATGATATTCATTATTGGTATATTATTTATTGCGAAGAGGACGGCAGAGTGCTAAGGTACGGTATCATAGTGCAAAATCTATAAATTGTTTGCCAAAAAATCCGATTTTCCTTAAGGGAATTGCTTTACAACAATCTAATAATAAATTCGTTGACATTGATTATCAAATTTTTAGGCAAAACTTCATGATACACAGCACCGTTAATCCACTTATTCGATTTAAAAAGACGTGGTTTTGTCGACCTTCCCTTCCGGTGAACTGCTTTCACTTACCTGATGCCTGAATTAGGTGTCTTACTCATAAATCCATGTCTCTTTCACTCATTTCACTAGCGGTAATACTCTACAGAGCTATCTGACTATAATTCCAGAAACTTTTTAATCAAGTTGGTTTAAAGGTAAACTTAATCTTTATAGAATTTTCAATTGTTTATTATAAACAATAATAACTCTATTATTTTTAATAATAAATGTTTAAAACAGTCTTGTTAAAACTAAAACCGGTCCGGAACAAGATTACTAATAAATGGCCAATTAGCGCTGTACCTGTCGCTTTTAACGGTAACGTTCCAATTATATTTATTTTCGAACAGGAACGGCCTAATCATGTCACTGTCAATATCAAACGATCTATTTTTTGGGGCGCATCAATCGATGGTGACAAATCTTTTTTATTGGTTTGTGATATTATTCTTATATCTTCTCTTACACTGCAAACACATTCAGATCAGGTTCGGGATCATGTTAAAGATGATTATTCAATTTCTGCCAATTATTTCAATTATTGTTCAGTCAATAAATATAATTTAGTTAGTGTTCAAAGTTTTGCATTTTGTGAAAATCAGTAAATAAGCATTAAGATAATTTCCGGTATAAAATAAGTTCTCAAGTTTTTGCTACATGTATACGAGTATAGCGATATTATTTTGTACTTAAAAGTACATTTCAGTTGTTTTAATTTCGCAAGTATAGTACACATTTGTGATTGTTGATGTAACTTTAGACTTTCTACACGATTTTTCTGTCAAAATAAAATAAATGTACAGCAACTGAACTCATAGCGTAACCACCAGAGTTCATTTTCAAGGGAACTATTTTAGGATTCCGCATAAATTGTATAGTAGTCGGCATATACGCAGCAGTGCTGGTGTAACCAATTCTTGGAAGTCGTTATATGTGCCCTTATATTCAACTCTGAATTCGTGATCCAGAGTTTTTATTGTTTTCTGCTTACACATGTAAATTGTGGAAGATGTACATTTCTGATTACTATGAATGAGTATTGCTGCATTTTGTATAATAAATTTTCTTCAATATGTTGATTAAATGCTTACATGAAATACTGGTAAATATTGTCTAACAAAATATTTTAAATAATTCCTAGAAGTTGATAAATTATTTTTTGGATGTAGGGTAAAAGTAAGTTATCGAATAGAATCTTTTTCAATTTGATGTTTGTATAATTTATTGTTTATATTTATATATTTGAAACACAAAGTTTTTATCATATTTTCTTATTTATTAGAATAAGTTTTAAGCCTGATCTCCAGCCGCTAAAAAAGGTTCGAAGACTATATATGTAAAATTTTCAAACACCTTAAACCTTCATATGAATATTCTATTTAGAGTATATTCGAGTTACTTCAATATCGTAATTTTTTAATACCTTGAAATATATTTTATACAATTTTTTTCTATAAAAACTTTTTACCGAATTTTCATAGTGTTTGACTTATTCTTTATCAGAGAATTTTTTAATAATTAATTGTACAATTCTTCTAATATGTATAGTAATAGGTTTTACAAACTGTAGTAATTTTCTAAATCAGATTATTTTAAAGAAAAACCAAATATTATTTTGTGATTCTCACACGATCTGACTAATATTTCTAAGCAAGCAAATGCAGTAGTGGTTTTTTGTCATTAGCTTTTCGATATCTAATTGTTCATGCATAATTAAAATTATTATGTCAATGAATATGTCTATACCCTATCAACCATAATAAAGGGTTTACGTCCTTGTTGGACGTCTCGATCAAAACGCGTTATTTTTGACATTTTTTTGAAACGGATGTCACACAGCAGTTACTGAAACTTATAAGACAAGCGAACAAGATCGCCCGAATCAATATATATATATATATATATATAAGTCATAGAAGAGATTTTGAAATATTCGCACCAGTATGATGATGATGAAAAAGCTGTCTTTTTCTTCTGTATAACACTAGCATTCATAATGCAATTAAATTGTAGAAGATATTTTATATCATTGTACAGAAAGAACCCGCAAATATTCGTTGCCTTCTGTACTGCACCACTAAACAGT